TGCACTGACATTGCTATCGATATGGTGGGGATATATGGGGAGCAAGACAAGCAAAATTGCCTACAATTGTGCATCTGTTGCTTCTCGGTCGGCAAATATGGAGGGGGGGGGGGAGTGTTCCACGGCAGTTTTTGAGGCTTCCTGCGGTTCCGTGAGGCCAAAAAGTTTGAGAACCCCTGTGCTAAACAAAGAAATTGTGTTTCTTGAGGGCTTTGTGTAATGAGCGATAGGAACCTTTATCAGTTGCATGTGTTTAGGCAATTGGGATCGACTGTTTGACGATGATTCGTGTTTTATTAAAATCAGTTGGAAGTTGGCGTCTGTCCGTGTCGTACATGTCTTTTTGTCTTGTTTGGTTCGCGCCTTGTAACCTTTTAATTCATGTTACGGTCCGTTCTCACCTACCAAGAGGAGCTTGTTTGAGCGCGAGGAGGACGTTAGTCGGGCGGCTCGTCCACCGAGATAAAAACACACCAGCTCGGAAAACCACTTTTACCCTCGCGGCTGGCTGCGCAAGTGTCGGGAAGTAATTAAGAGAAGCTTATTTTATGAAATACATCCTGAAATTTGAATTATTTCAAGCAGTTTAAGGGGCGACACGGCCTAGAAAATTCATTTTTGACAAAAAAAAAAGTAGATTTTGAAAAATATTTTAATTAGGTTCACAAACTCCTGAAGAGTATTTCCACAAAGTTTCATTCGTATCCGATACATAGTTATCTTGTTATTAATTATTTTCAGTGCGCCGGTGACGCGACTGAGTGGGGAGTTGAGCAGCGAGAGCACGGAGCGTTGCAATGTTTGCATTATTCAGCTGGGAAGAACGCCGCGCACGCTAGGCCTAGCTAGGCGATTGTAGTCTCGTTAGAAAGCTGAACTCTTCTATTTTCGGCGCTGATACTAATCGTTGTTCGAGAGTAAGCCAGCACGCTGGAATACGCCTTGAACCCCGTCGAAATTCATGCTATTTTGGTAGAAAAAGATGCTACACGGACCCCTATTGGCCAAAATAATGAAACACGAGCTCCTATTGGCCCGTGCAAGTCGCACGCACGCTGGCTCGCTCATCGTATGATAGTTCTCGTGTGGAAGCCTACTTCACTGCTTCAACAGTCTCAGTCTCGGTCTCCTTCGTGAACTATTCGATCTACTTTTCGGTGATCTTTTTGGTGATCGTTTCGAGGATGCCCGTGATGAAGTCGCGAACGCGTCAAAGCTTCGGCTGCCGCTCGCGGTTCAAGAAACCGCGAGGACTGCTTGGTGGAAAGTATGCTATCGCTGCCGCCGCCAATGACGACGTGCTCGAGTCGTCAAGATCATCGCCCGTTCCACTGGTACCTGCAGCAGCAGTGGCAGTACCCAAGAGTGGTACGTTCTGCGACTTGGATACGCTTACCACTTTTGAGCGGAAGATTAGCTTTCTGGAGGCAGGTGGAAGCGACGGTAGCACCGAAGATCCCGGAGAGCCCTGCAGCGAAGGGGCGACCTGCTACCGTTTGGTGGACATGGCTTGTCTGCAAAGCCTGGTTAAAGTGCTGCTCTGCCCGACTTGCCAAGCGTGTGAGTTGGAACTTCAAGAAAACGGTACCGGAGCTCACCTAACATTCGTCGTTGAGTGTCCGCGCCGCTCTCGTTGACCATCGATGGTACCAAACAGAACGAACTTGCCGCACGGCTCGGAATTGTTTCGCGGAACTGTGGTATTGGCTTTACGAAGCTGATTAGTTTCTTTACTGAACTGAATGCACCTCCGCCGATGACCCTCAAATCTTATCAGATTGCAACGAAGGCGCATGACGCGGCCGTATGGGCGTCAGCAAACGCGATGGCTGAGGCTGCACGAACTGTGCGGAGACGCTAAGGACCTCGGAAGGCAAAGACCAGCTACAGGATGTCCGCGTAAGTTACGATGAAACTTGGCACAAACGAGGCCAGATGTCTCATTTGGGTGTTGGTGTTGCCATCGAGATAGACACGAGCCTAGTTTTAAATTACGAAGTTGCGAGTAACTACTGCCATGATTGCAGCATTGGACCAAAGGAGGGCGCAGACGGACATGAAAAGTGGATGAAAGGGCACGAGTCTAAATGGCAGAAGAATTTTGACGGCTCGGCCAACGCTACGGAGGTGCAGGCAGCAGGTGCGATCTTCAGCCGGTCAGTGGAACTCCACAAGCTGCAATACGTGACCACGCCCTGCGACGGCGACTCCAAAGCCTACAACACCATGTTGCTGCGCTGCAGCTGTACGACAAGGACGCCAGCAAAGAAGACTGCGTGAACCACGTCGCGAAGAGGCTATATGCAGGTATGGAGAAATTGAAGAAGGCGAAGAAGGGACTTGGGGGACGAGGCAAGCTCACAAATGTCATAATGAAAAAAATGACTAACTACTATGCCAGTGCCCTAAAACAGAATGCACCCAATGTGACAGCGTATGCAACCCTGCTACACATGTACCGTATTTATTCGAACATAAGGAGAGGTTTTTTTTCCAAAATCCGCAGTCTCAAAGTCATACCCCGCCTTATATTCGAAGCTCAGTATAGCAATATGACGATTTTTTTTCTTTTCTTCGGGTCCTTCAACTTCCCCTCGCCTTATAATCGTGACTGCCTTATATTCGAATAAATACGGTATTCTACCGACGAAGAGCCTCAATGCGTGCCCCAAGGGAGAGGATTCGTGCTGTCACCACAACCGCCACCTTGCGCTTCAAGCAGCTCCAAAGCCGTCGGGTGCAAAACCTCACCGGCCGGCATTCTCCAAAGATGGGGCCAAGGAGCTCGTGCCATTGTACAACCGGCTGACACACAAGGACTAGCTGGCCATGTGCTCACGCATGACAACCCAGAACGCCAACGAGTCTTTCAATGCTCTGATCTGAAAGAAGTGCCCGAAGACGGAGTTTGCCTCCCTCCAGACTGTTGAGACTGCAGTGGCACTAGCAGTTCTAGAATACAATCTGGGACCAAGGAGCTTTGAGAGGGCACTGCTCAATATCAAGATGGAGGCTGGAACACACCACGAGTCGCAGGCAAAGAAGGCAACTTAGCACCGACTTGCCAGGTCCCGAGCCAGAGCGTTGGAGTCTTCAAAAGTGGCCCACGAGCGACGGAAATCGGAAGCAGTGGCCTCTGAGCAGAAGCGCCTCCAGCAGGAAGGTCCTACGTACGCTGCTGGACCGTTCTAGTGACCTAACAGAGGTGCCACAGTAAAGGCATAGATATGAAAACTTTGAACATGTTTTTCTCTGCTTCATTTTTTAGGTATAAATTCCATTTTAGTCACTCTATCGTTTGATTATGGCAAAACAGGGAAGGCTCGTTCTTCACTTTTCCTGACTGAAATTTAGTAAGGAGTGCGGCTATGGAATGTTTTTGTCACTTTACTAATGTCTTAAGAAATAAAGGACTTTTTACAAAAAAACTTTCCATAGCCGCACCCTCTAGGCATTCTGCTGCATATCTATCGAATAAAGACCTTAAATATTGATCGTTTTCAGAAGATAGATTAAGTAAACTATGTAGGCGTGTTATTGATATAATCTGCTCTAATTTCCTTCCCATTTATTTAACAGGCCTGAAATTTTGTTCTGCACCCTCTAGCATGACCAGCTGCCTACCCTGTAAATTTTATTAATTTTAAACCAAGGGTTCAAAAGTTAACCCCCCTAGGGGGTGTGTCCCCTTAAAAGATTCCTAGTTACAAAAAGCACCTATATCATGCAGCAAACTCTCCAAATCTGTCCGTAACACTCGAGATCTTGCCACTCTTCCAAAAATTCCCCAAACCCATTTCGGAAAAAGTTTCACCCCATCGCTAGTTTTCGATAGTGTTTTATTCAACGGTAAAACAAACCAATAGACCCAACAAGACTAACAAGTTAATTGTCTCCTATACAGTAAACATGACCAGTAATGTCAAGGTGGCAGGAATTCTGCAACCTTGGCATCCCCCGTATGGGAGACGTCCAATTACATTATTTATGCCGGTGCAGTTTGTTTTATCGCGACGAGTCCTGGCTTCTGGACCATGTTTGTGTTTTTCCGCCGCAAGACAACACCTCCAAGCCACTGTTGAAAGACACTCTCCTAGGAATGTACGCAGCATGAAATGCCACAGTGCTGCGCGGCATTGGCACTTTCTGCGCGGTGCTCCATAGTCACTGCCATTTTCCTTTTGCTGGGCTTATGGAGGCCCGTGGAAAGATTTGCCTCGCAGCCCCAGAGTGTGTACCGCCGCACACCTGCCTCGGCTACGTGCAGCTTGCCCACACAGACGTCCAAGGTTAGCATGCTGCGACCGGCCAACAATCGTGCAGCCTGGTTGCAGTGAATGTTATTACTTCACAGTGGCACGTTTCTTCCCCAGCATCAATGGATAAGATCCGTGCAAAACTGTAGCTTGCACTTAAGGGAGATGAGAAAATTCACCTGACCTCGCACATTCCCGGACCGACAAATAGAGGCTTCCGGTTCTTTCTCCAATTTCCGCTCCATGCTGGTTCTATAAATAAAAGCTCTTCCATAGGAGCACACCGCACTCTCTGCAGAAATCTTTGGGTCCGCAAAAAACAAAAAAACATACACAAACGTTTCCAAGCAGGTGTAAAACTCATTTTTAGGACGAGTCGTCCATCCCAAACCTCCGGACAATAGGTTAGTTGAAACCACACCGGCAGCCAGCCCCTCCCAAACCCTCCTTGAACGTTGGCAAGAAAGAAAGAATCCTGACAACTATTGAGAGCCGCCTTGCTCGTGTGCTACACGCACAGGAGCTGCACGGCACCGCCAGGAAGCACTCCGCTTCCTCTCGTCTGGATAAGAACCGTTTGCCACGGCAGGGAAGGGCATGCAATAAACGGAATAAATGCCCCCCCCAAAGAAATGGGCCATTTCCAAAGGGCTCACAGAGTGTAAGCCAGAGCAGGTGCACGCTCGCCACACTCCCCGAAATGCCCCTGCTCGGGACGTTTCAAAGCTCCCTCGAGGGCCTCACCTTCCGAAGTCACACAGCTTGAGGACGCCCGTCTCGGGGTCCAGCAGCAGGTTCTGGGGCTTGATGTCCCGGTGGCAGATTCCCAGGGAATGGATGTAGGCTAGGCTCCTAAACAGTTGGTACATGTACAGCTGCAAGGCAAACCGGCCACCGTCAGACTCTGCCCCGCTTGCTGCTGCCAGCGTCACGCCCTTCCGCGCCCAGCTCGGTCGTTTTCTCGGGCTCTCGCGTTCCCGAGCATTCAACGGCTGCAGTGGAGACGCTAGGTCTACCCACTCACCGTCCCAACCGGAGCTCGGAGTTCTCCCCTCTCGGCGCACAAAATAATGGCACAAACGTACGAGGCCATTTTTCGGGCAAAGCTCGCCTCCACGCTGACCACCGAGACGGATTGCAACCAATGCCACGAGCGATAGGAGCCGATCCCACGCCGCCCAAGCGTTGCGTCACCTTCGGGAGGTGCGTTCTCGGGTCGTTTGTTCGGGGCACTGAATGGACTAGAATAGCTCGTGGCGCCTGCTGCAAATCCTCTTAAAAAAACGCAAAAATGAAAACAAACATTTTTCTTGTTTTTTTTTCAGCTTAAATACCGAAGGGACAGAGACACGGAAGAAGAGACGTCCCTTTTACGCTCAAGTTGCCACTCCATACCTCAGTCTCGGGTTAAGTTGCAACATCAAAAGAATCCACCAGCTCGCCTGTACTTTAACCGTTTTTTCATTAGTTGGAAAACAATTTAAGTCGAGCCTCGCCGTTTCATTCGCTAATCGTGTTCACAAGCCTAATGACGCCCCATAGTGACGTCCAGTGCGTTTTAGAATCTCAGTCTAGGGTACAGGTTTTGTACCATTCCAAAGCCTTACCCCATCCAGCGTTGCTCAGTCTTTTCACGTGATGCAATTTACCGGAGCAACTCTAGTCCCTTCGAGTAAGATTTGAAAGACAACCCTAGTCACTGTCTAAGCCGTCTTCTAGTCGTACGAGCAGACACGTGGCAGCGTACGGCGTCATCTGCCATTAGAATAAACACATTCCACTACCACCCGCGAAACGTCCGCAAGAAGTGGCCATGGCCGCGTCTGCCGTCGCGTTTGTCCACTATTTCGCCCCCGTGACAATCGCCAGACCGAATCGTGAAACGGCGTCTTGACGTTGCATCGTGCACAAGCCACACTCTAATGCATGCGCCTGTCAGCGTTTGTCGACGTGCAGTAAAAAGCGGCCTTTCAGCTTTGCATAGCGATCGCGAGCGAGGTGGGTGAGCGTCGCGACGAATAATTAAATATTCCCTTCAGCAAGCCAGGTGCATTGCTAAAAACTTGAGAGATAAGTGCCTTCGGAAATGACGGAAACATACCTGGACAAACCTGACGCGAGGCGAACGCTTGACTTTTTTCGGCCAAATGGCTCGCAAATTCTAACTCGCGTAAGTTACATCTGGTTGCAAACGCAACAGCTGCACCATTCTCAGAGTAGCAAAGCTGCTTTGACGGTAACCCACACATTTATTCGGCATCAAAAGCCAACATATCGAGCCAGATTGAGCAAAATAGTTGACGCGGGATGCTGGGCTTACGCCAGTCCCGCTATGAAAACAAGCACCCACACAGCGCATCCGGGGCCTGAAACGGGCTACCTCCATTTATATTGTGGCTAAGAACAAAAATATTGCTAAAAATATTTTTTGTAGAAGTTATTAAAAAAAAAAAAATGTCTTCTCATCAAGCCCTTTAAGAAGAAGTTTTTTTCTTTTTTTCATTTTAGCGTTTATTTAAGGTGAAAGGAACCATGAACGTGGGTTCTCAAACTGGGTTCTCTCCCTCGGAGCTTCCTCGAGCACCCAAATTTTCTCTCTCGGCTGTCCCCAACTATTTTAGAGAGCCATCCGTTCCACTGAGGGGCACTCTCTAGCATACACATACAGTTGAAACTCCATTTTACGAAACCCAATTTTACAACATTCCCCATTTATTAAACGAATTCCAACTTCCCCGCAGATTCGCATAGGGCTCCGTGCATTTATGAGCTCGATATAACAAAATAAATTTGGCCGTCAACCCAATCTAAGGAAGCATTTTCCAAAATATGACCGCATCTCCACGTGGTGAATGATGTTGATTGGGGTGAAGCTCTGGTGGTGCTGATGATACTGTTTTTAGCATTTGACCGCAGCGCCCTCTCGTCTATAAACGTTGAGCCAAAGCATGCAAAGTTTAACGCGATTATATACGCATTTGACCACAGCGCCCTCTCCTGTATAGACGTTAAGCGGCTACACGCAACGTTTCATCCATGACATCCCCAGCTCTTGAGTTACTACCACATCTCAGAGCCCCCTCCTCGTCCCCCAGTCGTGGCTGAGTGGTTAAGGCAATGGACTAAAAATCCATTGGGGTCTCCCCGCACAGGTTTGAATCCTGTCGACTGCGCAAACATTTTTTCTTCTTTTAAGAAGTCAGATGGGATGGCAATCGATGTGAGCACGGACGCCGGACAAGGCTAGACCCTGAAGAGCTTTGCCCCTAAAATAATCGATGCAAAAAGGGATAACTTGGACGGTTTAAAATGCCTCTGTTGCTGGTGTGCCAGCGTAAATATTTTGCGACCCTAGTTTCGTTATTATGGAAAAACAAGGTTAGGCTTTTAGTTGTTTATACCAGATGGCGCTAGCTCTTTCACCGCATTTCATTCAGTATTCAGTTGTACCAAAATCCTTTAAAACGGTCTATAAGAGATAAACAAAAACTAAATATGCAGTTCAGTGAAAATAATGACACCGATGAAGTTGACCAGACATTTGGTCCGGTTGTGTTCGGTAGCAGCCCGCTCTCCCATTAGGCCTAACGGCAGGGTATCGCTAGAGTGTGCACCGCCAAGACAACAACGGCAGAGAGGTGTTCAGCTTTCTACTTGACGCGTCACCTCTGAGCGTACATGCGCAAATAATATGCACAAGGGAATACAGCAAGCACACCTGGGATGCTAGATATCAAAAAGAAACGCCGTGCTACTTCTGCGTCACCCTCAAATCAGGTCCCCGAGAAAAACCTCCAAGATCATTGGTACCTGGATCCGAGGCTCTTTTTGAGGCGAGGTATGTCCCGGCTGGCTCTCACAGGGGCACCGATTGTCAGAAAAAACCTGTTTCTTGGAGGGTTCCAAGCCTTCCTTCACGCACTAGCGGGTCGTCTTGGCAAACTAAATTCGTAAGCAAGTAAATCGCATTTTCGGCACATGAGCACCGCGGTATATCTCTGGATGTCGTTACTTTAAAACATCGAGCTTAATGCCCGCAAAATGGCATTTTCAGTTAAAATAAGTGATTTGCAGCTCCTCAGCTTGGCTAGATTGAGATTTAACGTCTTTGCGCAGACCACAGGCTTCTAGAGCACTTTACCGCATCCAAGCCGTGTCCTTGGCTGCCACTTGAGGGACATTCTTCGGCGAGGGAAAGCTTAAAGGGCAACTCCGCTCAATTCCGAAAAATTTAGGCTTCCATGTGATTCACATTCACAAAGCACTACTAAACAACTCTACGTCTTCGGATTCGCGAAATGTGGAATATTATTTGTGTAATCCTAATTTAAACGTCAGCAGATACCGAAACCGAAACTTCGGTTGCGTCAGGCAACATCGGTCTCGGGTCGTCAAAGGCATGCGCGTCACGTCGAACCACGTGGTCTTGCGACGTTCGGGAGGGAGCGAGAAACAGGACACGCGACGCGGGCAGGTTTTTTTTTTTTTTTTTTTTTTTTTTTTATTGGACGCGGGAAGGTCGCTTCGCGTGGCGTGGACGGTGATGGCCTGGGTGAGAGGGGGAAGGGAAAAGACGAAAGAGAAGTGGAGCGGAGAAACAGACCGATAAGCGCGCAGGGCAGCGCAAAGTAGCGCATCCGTGTTACGGTGATCACGTGAACGCCCGGTCAGCCAACACCGGGAGGAGAAACTCATGACGTCATCGTTGCATTTCGCTCTGAGAAATAAAAACAAGCAAAACGTGAGAATGACGTACATGCCTCTGACGTAGTGGCTCAACGTTGGCCGCTCCAACTCCGTGGCATTGACTGCGCTGATGATTGCGCCTCGCGCCGCACGCTAGAGTTGGCAGATTTCGGCGACTTGGCTCGCTTGAAGGTTTGCCGGCCAGTTTATTAAATAAATAAACGGAATTAGATCGTAATATTTGACGTGGGGTCTTCCTATATGATACTGAAGAGGGCTACATAGTTTTCTAAATATCAAAAATGAAGCGGAGTTGCCCTTTAAAGACTGCGGAACAAACTCCAAATTATGTGCTGCCAGAAAGGAGGGAAACTCCGACCAGCTGAAAAGGTAGGTCATGGGGCAGAGCGGCCTGGATGGCCGGGGGAACTCACCTTGATAAAAGATATGGGTATCGTCTGCTTCGACTTGCTATAGTGCCTCGCTACTCTGTACACAGTCTCCGGGATGTACTCTAAGACCAGGTTCAGATATACTTCGTCTTTCTGCGGGGAGAGAGAGAGGGAGCTGGGGTGAGGGCCGGCACGCCGCAGCACCGCCGCAAAGGGCTGCTTGCGTGAAAACCTCTTCCTCCTCGCTGCTAGGCTGCAAACCAAGAGCCAGTCAGACGCCACCACATCGGCCCAAACATGGCCTACAACCTCAGGCAAAATTAGGCCACGTTTCACTGCCTCCACTTGTACCCAAAAATTTTAACATTTTGAGAGAAAAAGTTTGTACACGCAGCTCCTTCTTAGGGAAAAATTACTCGCATTTACGTGATGTAAGAGTAGAGATATACATTTTTGCTGATGCAGTCAGTATGTTTCATATAAAACAATATATTCCAGAAATATTCCACCCGCTACTAAGCGAGCAGGCGTCCGCTCATCTTCTAATTCCGGGCATAAAACTTGAACCTCGCTCGAACTTTCATCTAACCTTATTTACTCTAGAAGCTAGAAAAAGTAAACCTCTTTACATTCCTATTATGTTCAAACTCCCATTTGGCGGTACAGAAAAAAAATAGGAAGCTCATCTCGGGGGTCCACACAGGAGACGGTCTGTGCTGCACACGACATTTGCAAGGTGGGAACGGGACCTCCCTTTTGGAAAGAATTCGTCCTTGGAACGGGCTTGGATGGCCCGTCGGACGAAAAGGGAACAACGACTGAAGAAGAACAGCTGCGTGCATGATTCCCGTCCTTGCCCAAATGGGGTGCCAATCATGCGCCATAATCTTCTGGCACGTCCGCGGCCCTTTACGACTTGGCGAGCCCGTTTTGCCCCAATAGGCAACGGGGACGACTAACGCATAGTTTCAGAGACCACACCTTGACGCCCAAACACCCCCTCAAAGAGGTTCTCTAAGGCGACCTTACATCTGCCGACCGCAAAAGCGAGTCCCATCTGCGAGGCTAAAAACCGAGTGTCGGCAGAGATCGACCCAAGAACGCGGGAAGAGGTGCAACTTGCCTTGTCGCCACTGGAGTAGAAGAAGTACTTCAGCTTCACTATGTTACAATGATCTAGTCGTCGCATGATTTGCAGCTCCCGGTTCTGTGGGGAGAAGGAAACAACATGTCAGGCCCACTCTTCGTCCCCCGTCCACGCAAATCCCACCCCAAATTCCTTCCGCATAATAAACACCCGGAACGTCCCCACTAAAGTTGGACAACAATGTCTATCGCTTTACGCCAGCATAACGGCACTGCCAGGACCCTTTGCCACGGTGAAAATTCAAAGATAAAAGCGGACTATGTCTCCCGGCCTGTCCTTCGCAAAGCGGATGGTAACGTTCAAACAAGGATTGCCCGTCGGCGGGGACGGTCTAACACGGTGCCAGACACGAGCGATGCACGAGCATTCGACTCGCTGGCATGCGAGTGCATGCCTCTGATGTGCCAGCAAACAAATGCACAACTTGAACCAAGACCAAACAAACATGCACGCCATATACCTCGGCAACAAAAATAACCGTCGAACTTGTGGTTTACGTTTCTGTTAACCCTTTGATGGCCAGCGTTGTCATGGCACTTGAGAATTATTCATTTTCTTCGGCGCCACTATAAATTTAGCGCCCTCTGTCGCAAGGGCACTTGGCAGTGGAGAATCGAAAAGCATCTTCAAAACAGATCACTCGTCGTTTAACACCTTAAGTGCCACTTTTTTTTTAAGTGACCTAAAAATTCCATATATTCTTTTATCGAAGGGTTTCATTCCTTTAGTATCACAGGTAGCATTTCTAAAATTCATTACACAAAAGTCTGTATATTTCTGTGTGTACATGAACCTTGTTACAGTTGTGCACATGCGCAGCAAAGCATCTTGCCTTTCCTCATACGTGTTAAGCATCTTACATCCTCTGGGGTTGAGCGTAAAGAAAAACAGTAAATTAGGGCAGTCCCGTTGATGTTTTGGCAACAAGTATGGTACAGCCACCTTATTTGAGGCTACGGACTGTGTGGAGCTCCTTAAAGCAGGGGATCACGCAGTGTGCTCTTTTACAGGCGTCGCACCACGTCCTCGTTTCTCAGCAGACCTCTCCACCTGTGGCATTCTTCTGGCTGCACATGGTCCTTGTGGGCTTCTGTTTCTTCTCTGTTGGCGGCAGGTAAAAAGGAAAGTGCCGGTCGCATCGGATGTCGGTGGTCGACCGGGCCTTAGCACCTGGCTGCTGCCACAGTACTTTGTGATCAATCACTCAAGGAGTGAGAGCCTCAACTTGAAATTAGACATCTTGCCACCATCCTTCTTGTACAGGACAAATGCATTCAGTTCAGCATCGTCCAAAAACTGCCAAGAAAGTTTCGTAAATTTTTTGCTCTTTTCGGGCAACCGGATATGTTGCGAGCATCTGATCTGGCAAGCCCACCCCCCCTATTGTGTGGTTGTAGTTGCAGACTCTACGACAGAGTGACCTTTTGAATCTTGGAATCGCACCATGCCGACGCTGTGCTCAAGTGCTCTAGAGGGTTATCAACCTTTTGTCCTTCCACTGGATGCACCTGTCCTTTCTTTAGCATTGCCTTCTTGAAAGGAATGTCCTTTCTTGTTGCTTGGGCTCTTCCGTAGATGACCGGCTCCATCAGAATGTCGACGAATTCTGGGGATGTGCAAAAATTGTCAGTTGCGAGGCCCTTTGCCCTCAAGAGGCTCCGTCAGTTTGAGAGCCACCTCGATTCCCGTTGGGATTCCCATTGGGAAGTGAAAGTCTCTCTCATGTCGTGGAGCAATAATTGTGTCTGTGCCTGCATACACTCTAAGGTTCCAGATGTACTCTGGTTCCCACAAGAGCTCCCTCTTTTCACAGGTGAATCCATTTATTTATTTATTTATTCATATTACCCCTAAAGGCCCTCGTGAGAGGGTATTACATAGGGGGGGTACATAAATCGTTCCAATAGGAACTAGTGCACATTGAACAACATATGAGAATACGAGAGGTCGATGCTTTACAATCCATGTAAAGCATCGACCTCTCGTCCACCCATATGTCTCGCTCAACAAATTATTAAGGCACCAAAGAAATGGCCATATCTTCCAAAGCTTGGGTTGCCGGCGGTTCTCAGGGTCGACTGGAGTCTCACTGTTCACAAAACGCAGAACCTTTGCAATGAGATAAAAAGGGTCGCAACTCATTGTGTCGCCAAATACAGATGTGCACACCAGGTTGTTTTGACTCCAGTACATGTTTTGTTCTAGCTCCTGAACAATTCCTTGCAGCAGCAGGAGGGACCGAAACGCTGATCGTCCTGGAGAACTTCGAAGCATTGAAGTAAGTCCTCTGAGTCTTTAACATGGAACGTTTTTCCAGGAGATGGCAGGAATTGGAAGCAAGGCAGGCATGGAGGAGGACTGTCTGCATTGACTCTACACCACTGCCTGGAGGAGTCCAAGTCGCTGCCACCATCCAAATCGTTGTCGTAGTCGTTATCGGATTCACTCGAAGAGCCGAGTTCAATGACAAAGTCACCATTGTCTTCACTCGACGAACAAAACCCAACCTTTTCCAAGTCACTCAAGCTGTCTTCAACGATCGCTTCTTTTTTTTTTTTTTTTTGCGATGAAGTTTTGCATGCTTTGTTGGCTAGCGACGCCTATTTTAAATGACTGTTGCCAGAGTATCTTCTCATTTATCTTACCAATGGTGGTGAAAAAGAAAGACGCCAGATAAAACAAGCGCTGCCATCTATGGTCAACGCCGCAACCGCTTGGGCGAGCGTAGCTTGTCAGTGAAATCGAGAGCTACCAAAAAAAACACTGATTGAGCCAAGCTTGTTTGATTCACTTTTAGCCCTTTCATGGACACCGATGTACCTGTACATCAGCGCGAGAGCATCCCGTGTGGTTTCTGACGTACCTGTACGTCCGCAACTATTATTCAAAACTTCGCGCCTCTGCTTGAACGGGTGTGTTCGCGGGGACGTGCTGCCATCTTGTAGGTTTGTAGAGAACTACGACCATATAACTTCGGTCGTGTTTGTTTTAGCAAGCCTTTTTGAAATTGCGAAACTGGACGCACTGCGCAAGTGATGCTTTTGAGATGGCCGCACGTGCTGGCTGCTCCGGAGATAGCGTTGCGGAGATTGGAGCGATGGCTCTTCGGGTTCAGACTTTGAACCCTTCTCGGACTCCGAGTCGGATGACAGCTCGACATGCTACGAGCAACTGGAAACCAGCTAGATTCGGAGTCTGGAGTCTGACATACAGCCGCACCGTCTGCTAGACTGTCTCCGGAGAGGGCGCATCGAAGTTTTAGCCGTTTTTGTTTTGTCCAGTTTTTAGCGAGTGTGCCGCAGATGTTTTGAAGTATGTGCGCTATTTATTTTATGTCTTACATTTTTTTTATGCGACAATAAACTACTGTATACTCTTTGCTATTGCACCGAGTAAAAAAACTGGACCACGTACCCGTGGTTGTTTTTTTTTTACTCGGTGCGTCTTTGGACAGAATATCTGACCATGAAAGGGTTAACCAGACAGCCGCCAACGAGCTCAGCTCTTCCAAAGAGCTTAAAGGTCGACGACCAGTTTGCTCTTTCCCCTTTTTCCTCGCTTCCTCCTCTCCCCCTTCTATCCTGACCACCGCTGCCTCCTCCCTTAGGGTGAGGAGGATCTTCTGCCTTGCAGAATCCCGAGCCTGGTCGTCGGCCTTTAAGGGGTTAAGGGATCTGAACTATACTGTGAACAGATAAATATGAGACCTCAAACTTGCACACGAGTTGGGAGGGTGTGAGACGTTTTGCACCTTTTCATCCACCATGCCTGCATGGGTTGCAACTTGCTCTCCTTTCCATAGCAAAGGCAAAGAGCAACCAACACCCGATTTTCTGAACATCTGCCAGCTTCTTAAACTGACTCTTCCCCTTAGTCCGCCAGCTCAACACAGCTTTAGGAAATCATATTCATGCAAAACGCAAATGATTTGTTTTACACATTCTCCAAGTAGCCTTTGGTTGCCATTCTCAGGCAGATGCAGTCTTTCTTGATTCTATTTACCCGAAAGTTCCCCAATTCATCGGGAAATACTAAATTACCTAAAAATTTCTGTCCCGCTGGCCAGCTCTACTAATACTGGAATATGGTGCTCTTGTATACTGAAACATTAACCCTTTAAGGCCACATGTCACCCGACAAAATATATTCCACTTTCCATCGAGTGTCGGGGCTGCCCCGACAGTCTCCTTTCTGCTTTCGATCAATTGTTGTGCGTGGCCCGACAATCTCTATCGTCGAGAGTGTAAGCATGTACAGTACCTTTACGCGAGACAACCCACATAATGCAACTTTTTTCTACTTCTTGTCTGGATAAGCAGAATTTTGCACGCACATTCGCACATTATTTGTTGAGGCAGCTTTTTTTTTTCTTGCGTTTCTACGGAAGAGATGTTAGCGATTCGCATGACGACGCGGGGGATTTTAGCGGATAAGATAATTCCAGAGGGTTCTAAAAATGTCACCTACGGATCCTCAAAAAATAATAGCGATGAGAGGAGCCTTACGGACGTTGCCGCATCTCACATGTGGCCACCCTACACGGATGCGGATTCTGAAGCTTCCAGTCGTACGATTAAAGATCCAGCATTTCCAGCTGTACCTAAGTGATCCCATTGTTTCTAGCGCGATATAATTCTGACCTGAGCGGCAACAAGACGAATAGCCACAAAAACCGAAAAGGTTCCTAACGCAAGATTACTCGCGCAATGTTTCAGTAACTTGGGAAGATTTTTCGTCGAGAAAGAGCCAGCTCGTTTAATTTTGGCGCTGCCTTTAAAGAAAGCAGCAGAGCCCACGAGCATGGAAAGACGTGCCTTGGCTGCACAATCTCTCCCGGCAGAGCAGAGGGCTCCCACCCTCTGCCACCAGGCACAACGGGAGACGGGACACGTCTCACGTTCGAGACGACAAAGAATGTTCCAATGCCACCGTACCTCCGGCGTTTCTAGAGAAAGCGTCCGTGGATGGCACCTGGGCCGGCGTCGCCCTAAAGTTGCGAGATACCGCCCACGACATGGGCACAAGCGGCCTCCAACCGTCGTAGGTAAACCTCGAGACAGGGGGACTTGCCTTGAACCTCTTGTCCTGGAGCACCTTCTTGATGGCCACCAGCTCAGCCGTGTCCAGCAGGCGCGCCTGGTACACCACCCCGAAGGAGCCGTTGCCGATCACCTTGGTGTCAGAGTAGGACACCTCCTGCGGCCGGTCGGGCCCCTGGCCGGGCGTCGCCAGCACCGTCGTCACCTTGGCCCCATCCTTGCCTTGCGGAGAGAGGGCAGGGCTCAGGGACGCCTCTGGGGCACTCCCTCTCCAAGAGCATGCAACCTTACGCACACGCCCCACCCAAGAGCTGCCATGACAGAGGTCACATATGCTACCGTTCAGTTACCTCCCTGAACACTTTCCCGAGTGCCTGGACACTCCCATTCTCCACCCCTTCCATTCAAAAAGCGCAATATGTTCTCGCTTTCCAAATACATATCTCAACCTAAATGTTGCGCTATCTTTTTTTTTTTTTGCGACCTAAATTTATTTTGCGACGCACGAGGACCATGTTTTAAAAAATGTTTTACGGGAAAAAAAGGGAGGCATCAAACTTTTGTTTCACTGCTTTTCAACTATCGTCAGATTCCCATTGACAGGCTTAGACGACGTCGCACGTGCGGTCAGAGCCTGGCCGAGTTCAACGAGTGGCTGTCGCCGACCGTCTGCATCCATTTCTAAGGACGTCTGCCACAGCCTTTCCACGCCGCGAAGACGCTGCCCCGGCCACAGTGCACGGGAGGGAAGTGTGGTGCAGCCGCGGCGGGATACGGTCGCGAGACGCTGGCCGGGAGAGGGGAAACCACGAGTGCCAAGGCAGGGAAACACGGGGAAGCCGAGGAACACCGCCGTACGACACCGGCGCCGCATGTTGCAAGCAACCGGGAGTCTCCCCAGCCCACACTGGGCCGGCGAGACCGGTAACTGCACGACCAAACCGCCCGCTTTTCAGAATGCGTACCGCGGCCATCGTAAGCAACGCAAACTCCGGCAGTACACGTGGTCGCGTGCAACGCCGAAACATTCTCGGTTAGACCGACGGGTGCAAGCGAGTCGTCTGCCGGCCAACCGGTGCCGAGGGGAGGGTGCGGGAAGCGGCCACAGACGGGGGAACGAGGGGCACCACGACACGCCGCTTACTGTGCGCTGAAGCAAGAGGGGTGTCCATGGCCTGGCAGAGGGGGCTCCCCTCAGGTCCTAGGGAAAGAGCCTCCCTGGGCCACAAGAAAGCAACGCCACTTCAGGACCACGCCGGAGCAATGCACGCTGCAGAGTGGGGGGAAAAAGGTCTCCCCGGTGCTCGGGGCACACTCGCGTTAAAGGCTGCAGCGGCACGACTACCGCCGCTCGTTGGGCTGTGGTGCTGGTGCAGCGGCCCCGCGGGAGGCCGGCGACGCCGTCTGCGCAGAGCCTCCGAGGAGTCTCGCTTGCGGAGACGTCCTCAAGCGACGAGGAAGGTTCTGCGACGCGCGTCCCCCAAGCGGAGCGTATGGAACGGCAATTGCCTGCCACTAAATGCGAGCGCAGTTCAAGCGCAGCCCGAAGCCGCCAAGAAAGGTGGGCACTTCCATGTGTGCGTTAATACCCGAACACAGTGCAGAAAACGACTAGGTTCTCGACAACGTCGCATTTGCTCTCCCACGTTCGCTAGATGGCCGGAGCTTATGACTCGACGACTGTCGGCCCCCGACAGAGAAGGGAAGTGCACCGAAGTGCCACGCGGCCGCCAGCTCTTTCCGACAGCAGGCTTGGTGGCCGGGTCCGGGCCCTGGTGGACCACTTACCCGGAACTGAGGCCAGCTCGTTTATGATATTGGTCGCGAGCTCCAGATCCGAGTCTTGCGTGGGAAGGCATGCGAGACAAGAGAGTGTGGCCTTCACTGTCGGCTGCTCCCAGACGGGAGGCCGCCCCAAGGGCTGCTCTTGGGGCAGTCTCGGCGCAGCCCTGCCAAGTTTGTGACGGCCAGAGTTCCAAAGTACATCAACGGAATCTACCATTTCGGAACGGATCCCGTGTCGGAGGCTCCTCCAAGTCGACGTGGCGAGGAACACTGCTGCCAAACGGAGATTGCCTGCGGCTTTACGTCTGCGTCAAGCACACGCGTGCCCAGAGACGTCGGAACCACGCGTGTGCCCCAAAGTAGTCCTCGAGGCGCGGAAGGCAAGACCCTGTCTCACTCCTGGCTGCCAGATGGGCTCAATGCTCATCGCATGGAGGTTGATACGGCAGTCTGTCATTTCACGCACCCTGTTGAGACACACTCTTCGCAGTCAGGCCCCTCGCAAATGTCACGAGTCGCACCAGGCTGGGTCGCCTTTTCAAAGCCCATGACTGGTGAAAGCAGGCGCCACGCCACGCGGCTCTGGAGGACGCCTTCCGAAAGTGGTGCCGTACGGCGGGCTGCAGCGAGGGGACCAGGCGAGGTCAAGGCGCCCGTGAAAGAGGGAGGTCAGACAGCGTCCTCGGAGTCGCCTGCTCGCGTCACCAGTGATCCCGAGGACGCCCTAGGACGTCAATCTGGCAGATTGGCGGCCAGCTGCGTCGCGCGAGGGGCCGACAGCGGTCGGTTCGACCAGCGATGGTCCCTCCAAGGCGCGTCGCTGAGCAAGCGCCCAGTTCTGTTGCTAAGCGGACGGTTGCACAAGACGGACGCAGAAGAGAACTGCTATTACGTTAGCACTGCGACGCCAGGGAGGGAACGTCGACCTGGTTCTGCACACATGGCGAGACTTAGCGGGGGCTCGAACGGCTCTTTTTTCTCGCGCTAGTCGCTGGTGTCTTCAAAAATCGTGATGCACCGCCCAGGCAAAAACCGCACACTCGGGCCGCCAAGCACCGGTTCGAGATCGGCGCGGAGTGGTGGACAGCACGGCCACCGATGGGTTCGCCCGAGTTCGCCCAACCTAAATGCGGCCCCTGCCGGTGCAGACAGCAGCGGAGCAAAGCGGCATCGTGCACGGAACATCAACGCGAATGCAAGTGGCCATGTTGCAAAGCAGCCAGCGGCTGCTAGGCCTAGCGGGGTTGGGAAACTTACTGGTGACTTTAACTCCCGCAAGAAAATTGGGCTGCTGGGGTTGCTTGTTTCCTTCTGCAAAGGAAGTTGTCCTGGGCCGTCCACTCATTCTAGAGTTCACTCGGTGGTTTAACACAAAATGTACATGTTCTTTTTTTCTTCTACATCCTCGATCAGGCTCCTGCGATGCACGGCAGTGAGGTTTTAGGCTTAGAGTCCACGGAGAGATAGAACTTGTTTCTCCCGCTACATCGCCAATCACAAGCGATCACATCCAAGCACACGTAATTTGCACACCAAAAATATCTTCTCGAAAATTAAATCCAGAACGCGAGGAACCACCACAGTAACACTGGTCCATAAAAGGCTAATAAAGAGCTTCCGGTAATTTTGCGGAGGCTCCGCTTTAACTATTCGCGCAGCTCAGGCGCTCAGACATTGACCTCGACGTCATCCTCGAGGGGCGCTCGGAAGACCTCGGTGAATTCCGGAACCAATCAGCAGAGTGCGATGGTGTCGGGTGATTCCGAGAGTATGGTACCGAAAAAACCAACGTGACGCGTTTACTACTTCGCGTAGCCGTCCCTGGATGGCGCTCGTAAAAGTATTCCTGTAAATCTTGCAAGCCCTACGAAAAGCCTTACGACTTTTCAATTTTCTGTAGCATAAAAAAAGATATGTAGGGTGCTGATAGCGAGTTCGTTTCACGGCACGCGTGTCCACGCGTGCACACTCGCAGCGTGGAGCGGGCTCGTTTCGGCACCCACGTTACCAGATTACTTCAACTGTGGAACCCCCACGATAGCACGATAGGGGGTACACTAACGTTGGGGTAAACTATGGGGGTACCCCCCCTTCACTCACTTCCTTCGCCTCCCGTCGTGGGAAGCGCCATCTAAATTTTTGTTTCATAACTGTGTGTTCCATCGAGCCTGCATCGAGCAGAGCTGAAGTGCCATCTAGACGCCGTGCTTCGAAACGTACGTATCCCACAGAATACACTGCAGTTACCATAACAGCCGACTGGCGCGTCGAACGACTGGAGGCGAGTCGTGGTGAGTGAATGGGGGAGGTTACTGCTCGCGCACGCAGCGTCTACGAGCAGTTTCGTAACTGATAGCGAGTTCGTTTCACGGCACTCGTGTCCACGCGTGCCCACTCGCGGCGTAAAGCGAGCTCGTTTCGGCAGGCACTCCACGAGTGGTTGCACCCTCCGAGTTCGTTTCATCGCTGGCACCCCTCGCGTGCATGCACTCGCTGCACCGAGAAAATCGGGCGTGCGCCAAAATGCAATCCCGTCATGCCTCGCTCCGACGAGGCCGTCGAGGAGCGGGAGCAGACGACGAGGGTTCGTCTGCTACGATGTTTCGCGGAACCGAAAGAAAAAAAAAAAGATTTTCCGATAGAAATTGCGTCCCGCGGGCAACGAAATCAAACGCGAGCTTGAATTGTGAGCGTCTGCTATTCCATGAAGGAAGCAATTGACAACCCGTGCTTTATTTGCAGGTTTTAAGTCGCTCTGTTGCCGTACTGACGCTGAAATATACCAGAATTTTAAGAAATGCTCAGAAGAAACGCATCAGCGGCCCCCGAGATGTTTATCAACATCCCTGTGCGGGTGAAAAATTTAACGTTTGTCGACAAAACTCCCCCAGCAGAAACCTCTGACTGCCCGGTAAGCATCAAAGAAAGCTAAACATAGTGACTTTACCCGACGCTTGGGCAACATCATCATGTTTAACATTTACCTACGTCAGCTAACTTGCCCCGTCGTATTTTTTTCGAGAAAGCTCTCGCTCTCGACGTCCTCACCAAGGCCTGTAATGACGATCGAAATCGAAATCATTACACCTGTAATGACGATCGAAATCAAAAGTCCCACGAAAGTTTTGCTGGATATTCCAACAGACTAGTTTTAATTCGTACCCTTTAAGTAGTTTACGTATAATACCATGCTCAAGCAGATCAAGCTTCTGCTCGGACAGCATCATCAGTTTTCTTCAGTGTAAGCGGTTATAAGAATTGAAAGATCGCAACCATGCTGCTTTGTAGACAGCTGGGTGCGGAAATTTACGCTGTCTGTAACTATCTATACGGCAGCCGAGTTGCTTGAAGTCATCGCAACTATAAACTACAGGTTGCAGCGTTCAACGTTTGTAGATAAACGTTGGTAGTGACTGCACTCTCGCATTCCCACACATCACTCCGAACCAACCTCGTTGCTCCGAACAGAAAAGCGCTAGTTTCGGTTTGAGGTTGGTACTCTTTCTACAACATAGATGGCGGCAGCATCAGTCTTCTGCACTCGGTGCATTTGGCGAGTTCGTTTGAGTCCAGTTCTCCGTGCAACACTCTGCGAGTGCGATGCATTCTGGGAGAGAACTCGAACGGTGCCAGTGCGTGTGAAACGAACTCGCAATGAGCTAATACAATAACGTTGGTGTCGGCCGGCACTCCACGAGTGGTTGCACTTTCCAAATTTGTTTCAGCGCCGGCAGCCACGCGTGCATGCACTCGCTGCACCTAGAAAATCGAGCGTGCGCCAAAATGCAATCACGTCATGCCACACTCCGGCGAGGAGCGGGAGCAGACGGCGAGGGTTCGTCTGCTACGATCAGCTACGACGTGTCCTTCAACCAAGGCCTTCAACCATGCCTTCAACCGTGCGGATCTAATTCGATGGATGGATGGATGAATACGGCTGAGCCCTTTGGATCGGGCGGTAGCTTACGCCACCTAGCCATTTTGTTTTACCATTTAAGCTTAGAATATTTTATTGTGAAATCTATATTCACTCCGCAGTGCAAAGAAAGTGAGGCTATGAAACCCCCTTGCCATCAGTGAATAAGAAAATACCTAGTTTTCTCTCGATTTCTGCCACCATTCTTGGTAAGCTCTACAGTCTTGAAATCCACTCTCCCTTCGCTGTCTCTAAAACCCAATGACTTTACTAAATCTATGTTGTCTTCGGTAGGCATAGGGTGAAGCCCTTTACAGTAGAGTATCAAGTGCTCAGCCGTCTCGTCCTCCTCTCCACAAGCAGTGCACACTGTATCAATTTCCTGGTACTTCACTCTGTATGTTCTGGTTCGCAGAACACCCGTCCTCGCCTCAAACAGCAATGAGCTTCCCCTAGAATTGTCATAAATTTTTTCTTTGGCAATAACTCTTTTGTTTAATCTATAGCTTTCAAGAGCCGTCTTTGTCTGCATTCCCTCTAGCCACCGATCTCTTTCTGTGGCCTTAACTTTCTTCTTAACTGAGACTTGCTCTTCCGTATCTTCGCTATAGCCCAAAAACTTTCCTCTTAATTTCCTAGTGCGCTGTCTCCACTTTGTGTCTACACTCCTCATGTATAAATAGCTGAAAACCTTTCGTGCCCATTGCTCCCCATCCATTTGCCTCAACCTATCCTCAAATTCTATCTTGCTCACCGCTTCCCTGCTCTCAAATGATGCCCATCCCATGTCTCCTTCTACTTCCTGGTTTGGCGTTTTGCAATGTGCCCCCAAAGCCAGTCTACCTACTGCGCGCTGTTTTATTTCTAGTCTCGCATGCACTTCGGATTTCATGCATAGCACTGCGTTTCCAAAAGTCAAGCCAGGCACCATGACCCCTTTCCAAATCTCTCTCACCACCTCGTACCTGTTGTAACTCCAAAGTGCTCTATTTTTCATTACAGCTGCATTTCTGTTGCCCTTACCTATTATATACTTTTCATGCTCTCTGAGATATTCTGCACCATCACATATCCATACTCCTAGATACTTGTATTTACTAGCTCTCTCAACTGTAATATTCTGTATCTTCAGCCTTTCAACTTCATCCTCGTTAAAAATCATGACTGCTGATTTTTCGCTACTGAATACTAAACCTAATTCCTCTCCTTCCCTACCACAGATGCTCATTAATTCCTGCAACTCTGTCCTGTTGTTCGCCATTAGTACAATATCATCCGCATATATCAATCCCGGTAAGGATTGCTGAATTTTTTGGCCTAGCTTACTATAAGAAAGGTTGAATCCAAGCCCACTCTTCTCTAGTCTATCCTCCAATCCTCTCAGATACAACATAAACAGCAAAGGCGATAACGGGCACCCCTGCCTAAGGCCTCGTCTTATCTCTATTTTCCCTGTCGCCTTTCCTTCCCATGTTATAATCACCTTGTTATCTTTGTAAATGTTCCTTACTAGTGCTGTTAGTCCTTCATCTAGGTTTAAGTTCTCCATTATGTCCCACAGGTTTCTTTGGTTCACATTGTCATAGGCACCCTTGATATCCAGATATGCCAGCCAGAGCTGTCTGTTTTCTTTTTGCGCTATTTCTATACACTGTGTTAGAGAAAATAAATTGTCCTCCAACCTTCTTTGTTTCCGAAACCCGTTCTGTAACTCGCCCAGTATGCCCTCGCAATCTACCCCTTCCTCCAGTCTGTTCTTTATAATCTGCATTACCAACCTGTAAATAACCGGTGTCACGGTTATGGGACGATAATTCCTAATATCAGACTTATCTCCCTTTCCCTTATATATCATACTCATCCTACTAAGCCTCCATTCATCTGAAATAGTTCCTTTTGTTATCATGGTACTCACTACCTCCCTTAGTTTTGCCTTAGATTTAGGACCCAAATTCTTCACCAGCTTGATAGGGATACCATCTGTGCCTGTCGACGTGCCACTAGGGACTCTTCGTTCCGCCTTTTCCCATTCTCTTTGTCCAAAATCCGCGATGTCACAAACTGGACTACTACTTCCTTCGGTTCTCCTATCTTCCACATGTACCCGTTCCCGAAATTTCTCCTCCATCACTGCTCCTATATATTGCATCGCATCATCTCCCTCTAATTGATTTCCCTGATGCGAGAGTATGAACCTCTGACTAGCTTGCGTTGTTTCACCGAGTGAGTTCAAGGGCTCCCAAAACTTCCTGGCAGCGTTTCTATCTTTCTTACTTACATTACTCATCCATTCCTCACCCTTTCTCTGAATTTTCGCATTGATCAAACTGGATGCCTCTCGGCGACATGTTATAAAATTGTCCCATTTTCTTTTTACTTCCGTTTCGGACTCCCCACTACGCTTGGAATACCTGTGTTCTCTAGAGGCTTCCTGACGTTTTTGTATCGCTTGCTCCACTTCTTTGTCCCACCAACTTTTTGGTCTATGTCCTTGCTTCCCCTTTCGTTTACTCTTAACTTTGTCTAGTTCTAGAGCAAAAAGCCTAGTTAGGCTCTCATAGGTCCAATTCAAGCCCCGACCAGGGCGCCCCTAGCGGCAAACGGGTCCGTTGCATCGGGCATCTTCTGCCAGTCGCTGTGTTGGTTGTGCGTTGAGGTGGGTTAGCGCTGTAATTTCTGAGTTAGCTATTCCTCACAAAGAAAGCCGCAACAATTGCTGCGTGGTCGGCAGGATCGCGCACGTCACGAAGTACTACATCGTCCCTTCGAAGCCGTACGAGGCGGAGTACTGCGCGACCTGGGTACGACTTGTGCGTCCATACAG